AACTAATTAGTGTGCTTATACATATTTATGTAAATTTGTGCAAATTAAAATGAAATAAAAAAGAAAGCAAGTTCATAAAAACGTGGTAAAAATTAGTACAACGAAGTTCTGGGGTTCAACGATTCGTCAGAGGATGAGAGTTTAGTGAACTGACCAGGAGTAGTAAATGTTTAAGAGAGTTTAAGTGTAGTCTTTACCATATATTTTGACATAAAATATATTTAAGAAATTTGTCTACAGATTTACTAAAAGCTTCCGACTGTCTAAAGAGGCGTTTGTGAGCCAAATCTATTTAAAATATTTTAAAACTATCCACAGCTCTATGATTTGTTCTCAGAGATCGTGCCAACTGAGTATTGGGATTTTCCTTCACAAGTAAAGCCGCCTTTCGAGCTTGTGTTTTGTATTCACGACGTTAAAACTGCATGAAATTGATAAAAAAAATTTTAAACTTAGTGTCTACCCGCCAAGAAGTAAGAAAACAAATGCAAAATCATACATTTTTCACAATTTTCTAACACTTCGCTACCCCATCGAAAGCAAAATTCTGTTCGACAGAAAATTCGATACTCAACGAAAATTTCGACACGTTGCATAGCTCATAATACGAATATCACTTTCGATCTTCGAGCTTCGATAACCAGCGAAGATCGAAAATCGAATGCAACTCATAATAAGGGCCATAGATAATTATTTCAAAATTAACTTTTTTGGATATTTCATCATACAATTTATAAGCTTAAAAAGGAGAATATGTTGAGTTGTTGTTGTTGTAGCAGCATACAAGTTTCCCGAAGAGTTTTTTGGGAGTGACAGTCCTTGGCCAAATATAGGCCCCTATTATGAGTTGCATCCGATTTTCGACTGTGGTCGAAAGTGCTGAGCGAACGAATTTTCATTTGGTATTATGGCGCTCATTCGATGAAGAATAGCGCTATTGTGAATTTAGCTTGTTTAGGTTGTTCACAATAGTATATTTTTCACTGCTGAGAAGCTTTGTTTACAAATCGAGCTTATACATATGTACATATGTAAATTTGTGCATACTAAGATGAAACAAAAAAGAAAGCGAGTTTATAAAAACGTGGTAAAAAAAAACTAAAATTTAATTAGTACAACGGAGTTCTGGTGAACGATTCGTCAGAGGATGAGGGCTTAAAAAACTGGCCTGGAGCAGAAAACGTGAGAGTTTAAGTGCAGTCTTTCGAATATATTTTGACATACAATATATTTAAGAAATTTTGTGATCCTAATCTTTCTAAAATATATTAAAACTATAAACAGCTCCATGATTTTGTTTTCAGAGATCGTGCCAACAGCGTATAGGGATTTTCTTTCATATGTAAAACCAGACTTTCGAGCTTGTGTTTACTATTCACGACGTTAGAACTGCTTGAAATTAATACAAATTGTTTAAAATTAGTGTCTAGCCGCTAAAAAGTAAGAAAACAAATGCAAAATCATACAATTTTTAAATTTTCTAACATTTCGCTACGCCAACGAAAGCAAAATTCTGTTCGACAGAAAATTCGATACTCAACGAAAATTTCGACACGCTTGCATAGCTCATAATACGAATTTCACTTTCGATCTTCGATCTTCGATAGCCAGCGAAGATCGAAAATCGAATGCAACTCATAATAGGGGCCTGCAACACACGGAATAGATGTAAGGACACAGCTATAAGAGCCACCGCACACCACAGACTTTATCGGCCGCCTATTTAAATGATAGGGCTCGCTTGAAATATGTACATGAAGATGTATGGAGGTGCGCACATTACACCAGCTTAATCGCTCTGACCAATAAGTTGTGGTGCAATGGAAAGACTAGCGAGCACATCTAAATTGGCGGCCGATAAAGTCCGTGGTGTGCGATGGATCTAATCCATTATAAACAAGAAATATTGCTGTTATATTTTCATTTTTATGATTTTTATTCATGTTATTAGCAGTGGCAAAAATGTATGTATAAAATATGTATGTTTATATTAAAAATTAAGTGATGGGTTATGAAACATATAAATCATTACATGTTCTGTTAAAAAATATCTAAAATAACAAGCGATAATCCCCAAGTTCTATATCGTAGCAGTGGCCACATTGCGTGTTTGTCACAGACACGGTTTATGTCAAAAATTTTGAAGTGAAACTACCTTCTAAAAATTATTGTATCATGGTTTTAATCATGATACAAAAAAGAAGGTAGTTTCAATAAACAACTTTTGACGGATAATAAAATTTGATGAAGTTTCATAAATTGTGAGTATTCTCAACGGCCTTGCCACTTTGATAATATTAAAACAATAAATCGGAGTATTTTCTTTCCAACATTTATACCAATTTAAAAATATTTCAAATCAAAAATCATTATCAGTGCTTGGTTATTTTTTTACTTACGTGGTTCGCACCTTTTTTTATTAAATATATATAAAGTATATAAACAAAAATCACGAAAGCATTATGTTGTTATTTTTTCATTCCCTTATTTTGAATGCAATCTTGCGATTTAAAATCTAATTCTTTCCAAATAAATCTTTTTATAATCGCCAATTCCATGTGAATAAATTGTTCTCATAACTTAACATGCAAAAAAAAACAAATTGGGAAAAATTATTTTTGTTTTGCTTTATAATTTTTGGGAATATTTGTTCACATGAAATTCGTGATTCGTGATGAAATTCGTGAAAATTTACTTTTAAATTTCTCGTCAGATTTTGCAAAAAATTAGGCTTTGTGGTTAGCGTATCACCATTAACTTCAACAATTTTCGAATTTAAAATTTCCAATGTACCTATTCGAAAAACTTGAATTCGGCTTGCGCAGAGCGCCCTCCGATAAGCAATTAGCATAAGTATAATTTTGATCACTTTCTTCATCCGTTCTGAAACCTAGTCTCGTCAACCCCCTTTTTGAGATTATGCATTAATTTTCAGGTTCATCATATTCGACATCTTTGAGTGGACTGATGAAATTTTCTGAAAAATATTACTGCTCGTGATCAGGTAGCATGAATTTAATGAAATGTCATAATTTTATTAAAAGTCAAATGGTTAACAACAGCAACGAATGTCATTAAATGAAACTACCCCCTCTTTTGTATCCATGGTTTTAATATATTTTAAAGAGATTTGGATCACAAAATTTCTTAAATATATTATTGTATGTCAAAATATATTCGAAAGACTGAACTCTCACGTTTTATGCTCTTGGCCAGTTTTTTAAGCCCTCATCCTCTGACGAATCGTTCAACCAGAACTCCGTTGTGCTAATTAAAATTTTTTTTTACCATGCTTTTATAAACTCACTTCCTTTTTTATTTCATTTTAATTTGCACAAATTTACATATGTATGTACATATGTATAAGCACCCTAGTTTGCTCGATCTGTAAACAAAGCTTCTCAGCGGTGAAAAATATACTATTGTGAACAACCTAAACGAGCGAAATTCACAATAGCGCTATTCTTCATCGAATGAGCGCCATAATACCAAATGAAAATTCGTTCGATTAGCACTTTCGACCACAGTCGAAGATCGAATGCAACTCATAATAAGGGCCTAAATTTTTTAAACGAATTGTATAAAGTATGTACTAATATAAATTTGGCTGCAACTACTGATTTTTATAAGGTATGTATACGGTGACCATATTTATGAGAGCCGAACATGGGACAAAAAAAATATTTGTGCAAATTTTTTCCACAACAGTTTACAGATCTCAAAGCCTTCTTCAATGATTCTAGATGTATTAGCTCTGAAAAGTATCCTTTTAGTAACATCACAAATTTGTAGGATAATTTTCTCGATATTTTTACCCCGCAAAAATTTGTTAAAAAAAAAATCGTAAAATTATAGTGGCTGCGTTTCTTTATACATTCCGGATAATCCCATTTCACAGCCGGAATAAACAGAATGCCTTTGAAATATACGTTAACATGTCATCAGGAACGTTCTAAAGAATAAATAAACAAAAAAGTTTATTCCAAACGTTCAGAATGAATAAAGAAATGCAGCCAGTATAATAAAGCGCTATTTTAAGTCGCTATGGCGTACCATTAATTAATTTTTGGCATTTTTTTTTTTTGTTGACGCATTTTTTCATACAAAGTAAGTATGTTCGACCGTTTGTTTGAAACAGAAGCAACTGAGCAGCACTCTCCACTCGCACTTTATTATACTCAATTTTAATGAGTTACAAAACTGCTCACCGAATTTTTTTCTAAGATTCTAATTAAAAAGTTTGAAATTTTGGTGAAACATTGCAGAATTAATTTTTATAGTTTTTTTGCACAAAGTTTGAAATTTGATATTATATGGTTTTTGCTGGGAAAAGACCTTTACTTTCATAAAATAAACAACAAACATTACATAAACTAGGGAAAAATAACCAAAACTTAATAAAAAGTCAAGTCCTAATTTCTATTTTGGTCACTGTCAAAAGAGAAGTTTCATTGTTTAGCTCTATTTTACATTAGATATTTACGGAGGTCTTTAGCAGCAGATCCAAAAGAAAAAATAAAGAAAATAAATATCGAAGCATGTACAAGACACAAATATAATACCAGATTTCGACATTAAGTTAATCCTCTTATATAAGTCATATAATTATGACTCATATTGAGGCTCATTTATGAATTTAAGCTCATATATGTCAACCTTCACCAGAAGGGAAACACCTAAATTGTAGACTCTGGGAGCATTATGAGCAACATTAGGACTCATTTATGACTCCAAATGTTTGCTGGGATGGTATATACATATATATATATGTACATAAATATGTGCGAATGTCCGTATATCGAAAAAATCTTAATAGCCAAGTCACAGATATGTGTAATTTAGGGGGTCTGACATTTAGATTCCATGCATTGAAACGCGCAAAATTAATTAGAGCCCATAATGTTTTCCTTACTTCTGCTCCACCTTACAAATTAACACCTCTGAATCGACAATTAACAGATCATGTTAATTAAACTAAAATTCAAAGCTTAAAATATATGTAAACAAACAGCAATTCCAGATAAGAGAGCTCGATATAAAAACGACGTAATTTATGCAGCAAGTTTTAAGTTGTCGAAGTTATTTGCTGGAAAGTAGTGCGGCTGAGGACACGCACAACCACAAACCTATTTCACTGCAAATAGGTAACGGAAAGTAATAAGGATTAGGCACATAAAATTTCACAATCAAAGTCAAACTTAAAATGCCAGTGAAAAACAAAAAATATCTAATTTTCCTTATTTTCGCTGCGCTATTTGCTGCCTCCGAGACATTGCCAGTATTGGATACTTCGTCAGGCATAGACAACTCAACGATTGAGGAATTACAAGCGAGTGTCAATGATACGCCAAAGAATCTGTAAGCACTGAATAAATAGCCTAATTTAAATTTTTTTAGCTTAAATCCTATCTTGTAGTTATGTTGTTAAGGCTGTTGTGTACGAAATTGGAATTTTAACGGAAGTGGACGATAATGAAACCAGTTTTGAAAGGTAGAGAAAGTCACACATTTTTAACCGGAACCGGAACATCTACATATTTCAGTTTGTGTTGTAATTTTAGCCAAGAACGCGTGGATTTGACCTTCTATGATGCACACTCCAACCAGAGTCATATCAACCTCGGTGATGTGCCTTTGCCAATCCAAACGAACATTTCCGGACAAGTACTTACCGGCATAGCGCCCGTCAATATTGGCGCATTCAGCAGCCCATTGGAGCTTTTACAAACGTTGCCACTAACCGGGACCATAGTCAATATAACGCATAGCAACACGGCGTATTATCAACTCACTAAGTCAAATGCCAGTGACACGTTAAAGCCACATGTAACCAGTGTTGAAGAATTAACAAATGTGTCTGACCTCTTTCCAGTAGTTAGCGAGGTGCCACTACAACACCCACTTGCAACTAGCGAAGCGGCGGCAAATACTGTAAATAGTTAAAGAATTACTACATATTTTGATTGCGGTGCTGATATAAATACATAGCAGTTGTTGGCATCACTGGAAATAAAGACTGTATCCTATATGTATGAATATGTACATAAATTATGTATGCATGTATATGCACATAGTATGTATTTATATAAGGAGCTAGTGTTGATCTGTATACATTGATTCCTGGTAATAACTGATCACATGTACAAAATGTCAAAACTTATTTTAGTGGATGAATAAAGTTTCATCAAAATCAAAATAAATCAATTTACAAACACATTCCCTCAGAATTGTTTTATTTGTATTACAAATCACTTTTGAAATTCTTGGAAATACGTTGTATTTATCTTTTTAATTAGCGAAACCCAATAGCATCTACATATTTGTAAGCGCTGAGGACCTTGTTTCCCGCTTAAGAACTGCAATATTTACGGTAGATACATATATGCTTTAAGGCTGTGCGTCGAAAAGCTATTTGAATATCAACATTTATCTAAATATTTTCATTTGCAACAACTTAATATACTATTTAAAGGAATTTCCAGTTATTTTTAGACTTTGAAATAAAAAAAGATGTAGTAAAAAAATTGTCGTACCGCTTTTTTTAAATAAACCATTAGATTCCTCTTATTATTATTATATTATTATTTTGTATTAAAAATTCCGATTACTTTTTCTTTTTGTTTTTTGAGGATATCTTAGAATATAGGATTGTTCGTGCTCTAGTTTTCCCGATCTTCCTAGATATTTTCGAGGTTTTCTGAGTTTTTTTCAAGAGGTTTTGTATCTGTATAGATGTTTTCACGATTATTCGGAAGGTTTCGCGTTTTGCTTTTTGAGATTTTCGAGATTTTTAAGAACTGTCATTATTTTTTGGGACTTTTCGGGAGAGACCTTATTGGATAGTTTCCAAAATTTTTTTATCGAAATTTCTCAAGTTATTTGGGATATTTCGAGCACTCTCGGCATTTTTCCGGGATGTTTGGAGCAGGGATGTTGCGAATATTTGCGTTCGCATTCGTCATGCGAATAATTCGCATCAAATAATACAAATGTTTTGCGAATGCGAATGTGTACATGGGGAGAGACTCCACTCTAATATTGTTGAAATGGCTCTAAGTCTGCCAAACCAGGGTGCGGACAATAACCGACTTTTAGCTTCAGGCGCTAAACGGTTAAGTGGTATATCAGGCAAATTGATGGGCCTTCAACAAGGACTGCTCAAAGCCTTAAAAGCAACCTAGAAATAATTATAGATTCCTTCAGTGAAAGCGAAGGATCGGATGTAGGAATTGGAGACATTAGAAAATGTCAAATTAAAGAGTCGATTACGGATAGCAACGCAACCACGCTTCGGTTGCCAGCTGGCAACGCAACTGGAAAGAAAATTTGTATTACGAATGGCAACTATCGTCAGTTGCTGTAGAATTATCGATAATCGAAATTTGACAGTTCGACAACCAGCAAGCGGCTGTAAACAAGCTGTGCGAGTAAAATTAAATTATTAAAATAAAGAGTTTTAAAGAAAAGACAGCAATAAAGCTAAACTCGTCACAATTATTTGTTTAAGAAGAAGAGAAGTCCATGAACGCGGCCTCAATCAGGAGATATTTAAAGGATAATTCCAATCTTCTAGAGCTACCGCGTGCACTGTAAGAAAAAGTTAATGCTTTCAAGGTTTTTCTTTTATTTTCATTTCGTGTTCATTTTCAAAGCATATTGAGGACTTCCAAAAGAAGCTGTAGTATAATTGGTTAATAAACAAATTAACCACTTCGTTCAACTTCAATACCTCCGCTCATAGAAAAGCTTGCGCACCTCTTCAATTTTTCGCAGAAGGAAGTGCCACAGCAATGACTTGAATTTGGAAAACTTGGTGTGTCGGTAGTTTTAAAAGAGGTGCTTCAGTTGATAAATGAAAAAATTTGCAATCAGTGTTCGCTTTTGTTTCGCCAAAAGGGCGTACTCCACGGGAACTAAAATTTGAAGTTTTGTTTTGTTATTTTCACCATATTCTGTAAAAGCAAACTGCATTGCAAAATGTCAATATCGTTCAAATTATTAAAAAATAAAATATATGACACACTTTTCAATTTTCGCTCCTAAATACGCTCCAAAAACATTCCCAGCAATCACATACATGTATGTATTCGCCTGTATAAATACTTTGTGCAACTGCAGTTGTCAGTTGAAAGTTGCCAGTTGCCATCTGTATGTAATATCGTTTTGGCAACAAGCTACGCAACTGAATTGCTGATTGCTATCGATAATCGACCCACAAAGCTCAATTGAAGACCTATCCTAAAGACAAATGAGCTTATCTCCGTAAAAATCCTCTCGATTGGTGGAAAACTAAACTAAAATTACTTTTTTTTTAAATATATGCCCCTTTTGAACTTTGACTACTAGATTAAAACACTGCACTATGGTCTGATAGCTACTATTTGCTGGCCAAGTAATTTTTTAGAGTATCGATAAATCGATTTTTTTGTCCCTTCACTAAACTAATTCTCCAGAGTAAAAAAGTACATACTCATTATTTTCTTAAAGAGTTTTCCCATTGAGATATCAGCTGACATTTTTACTAAAAGTTTTAAAACTTATTTCTTTCGTAGTCAGTAGTTTTGTAGTTCGAAATGGTATGTATGTCTTGGGGGCGCGAAAGATACTTCATAAAAGATAATGGAAATGAATGTTTGTATGATTAACAAAAAAGAAAGCTAACATATAGCTTGCTAAATAAAATAGAATTCATTTTCAAAATGGACTTCAATTTGGGTAATAATATTCCACTTTAATTCATTTGGCGGTCTTGAAGCTTTGTGGGCAATAAAAATTTTCAATTTAGAGTTTGTGGGCTGAGAATCATGTAGATTATTTTTGCATGATGCAAAAAACTGCTGTTTTAAACATTTTGCTGCGAAATATTATTAGATGGAGCCCATCCGAAGAATATGACAAAAAAATTCATTGTTGTTTATTTTTTGTTTAAACTTGTACGTTACGTTATTTTTTCAACTTTATATGTAGCTTAATATTGGTAATATACTTTTTGTGCTAGTGCCCTTTCAAATAAATACAAATATAAACTTATATTTAAAGGAAAAAGTTATTATTTAAAGCAGGTGTGATTAGAAAAAAATATATACCAAAAACTAAGCAACTT